TTTTACTTTAAAAGGAAAAGAGGATTTTTCAACTGGTTGAAAAATTTGATTTTTTCAACCAGTTGAAAATTTTCATTTTTTGATGAATCATTTTGTGATCCATTATTCTTCACTGCATAAATCCAAAGCTATCACATAAATAATTTGCATGCTGCAATAAAATCCTCATATAAAGTTATAGGCCCCTGATATAAAAGCAATATGAATAATTATACAGGAGCATATTGCTCCTGAAAAGTATTGTGCTGCATGCTGCACTGCCTTGGCTGTCCTTCAGGTCATGCATCCAGATGGAGAAGGTGTGGAAGCTGCAGCCTTGGAAAGCTGTGCAGTGTTGAGTTCTTTGCAAAGAGTGGTGGCTGCTGTTGAGTTTGTGTTGCCTGAAAGCATTGCATGTCTTTTGATTTTTGAACTCAAGAAATTTTGGCCGTACAGGATTTTATCCTGGCAAAATATTTAAATGCGCGAAAGAAGCCTGCTCCTGCCATGAAGGCTCCAAAGGAGCCACCTCAGAAAAAAGAAAAGGATGCAGCCACAGCTGCTGCAGCAAAGGCTGCACCAAAGGCTGCAGCAAAGCAGCAAGTGATTGCAGATGACTGCACACCTGATGAGATGAAAGCCTCCATCCAGAGGATGCTTGCCTTTTGCAAGTATCGTGCAGATGCAAAGAAGAACAAGTCTGGCCAGGGTTTGGCTGAGGCCCAGGAGGTCCTGGAGGCCAGTGGTTTAAATGAGTTTTTGATTTTCCATGCACTGAACCTGTTCATGTTGAACCATCAGGCCTATCGCAAGATTGGGGACTCAGACAGAAGGGGCTTCATCCAGGCCTATCAGAAGTTTGGCCTCGAGGACCTGAAGTGGATGGGCTCCTACACCAAGAAGGCCATCTCATCAGAGAATGAAGTTGATACCTCCCTGAAAGGGATGATGACCATGTCTCTTGTCTGAATTTTGCTGGATGCATTCTTGCATCCAGAAAATCAATCGAAATAAATTAAAAACAACATTTTCAAATTTTGAAATCAACATCTCAAATCCAAGGGCCAGAATCTTCAAGCTGAATGGTCTGCATGCCTCAGACTATGACCCAAAGAAGCAGCAGCAGCAGCTTCTTGAAGGCCTCCTGAAGGAAAGCGAAGACTTTTGGGGCCACAGCCGGAGTGAGCAAGTCAACAAGAACTTGCCTGAGCTCAGCCGGTTTTTCTACAGAACCTTGGTGGAGTCCAAAGACGAAACCGAGCAGAAGGAGGAGAACCTCTTCGAGCTGTCCTCCGAAATCAGTGCGAAGGCACTGAAGAACCTCAACCAGCCCACGATCAAGCTGGAAAACCCTGAGAAAATGGAGCTCCAGCAGCTGGCCAGGACAAGCTCGAGCGCTGTGAAGCGCTTGGAGGGCAAGCAAAGCGAGTTGTCCGCCTTGCTCATTGCCATGGAGGCAAATGAGAAAGTGAAGGCGAAAGTGCCAGAGGTACAGAGTGCCCTTACTACCCTCACCGACTTTCTCAGCACCTTCAAAAGAATGCAGGTGTTGTTGGATGTCAACCTGGCTGGCATGAGTGAGGAAGACTGTTCCCAGGAGAAGG